AGTACAAAATATGCAGTTTAAACTGGAAAAAAGTACTGTTTATCAGTATAAAATATACGGTTTATCCTGGAAAAGTATACTGTTCGCAATATAAAATATAAAACAATATACTGTTTATTGGTATAAAACATACGGTTTTTCTACTGTTTACAAGTATAAAATATACGGGTGAAACTGGAAAAATATACTGTATGCAAACCGTATATATGATACGGTGTGCAGAATACCGAATATATACAGTATGTGAAAATACTGTAATTATACGGTAATAATACTATAAATATACTGTTCGCAAAATACGAAAATACAGTATACTAACCGTATATATATTTTTTATAGGGCAGTCTTTTACGCTTAGTACCTTTTATTCAGTTGTAATTATATTAAATTATTATAGATAATGTAAAGAAAAATTATTACACTTACTCAACGTTTCAGGTAATGATGATGTGATCACTGCAGGGGATTTGCTTAATAATCTGGATGCAAATGATGCTGATGATGCTGAAGTCCTTGCAGGTTGTTGTTGAGGTGACTTGTTAAATGATTGATGTAAAGTCTCTTCGTCAGCAATTATTTGTACATAGGGAGTTAAATTTGAATTTGAAGGAGTGACGTGACGCTTGTTTTTCGTTAATGATGGCGTAAGAATTTGAGTAGTAGACACAATGTTCTTATTTTGTTTAGCTTTATTTGAAATTTTCTTCATTTGTTCCTTTTGTGTAAAATATACTAATAAATTATATACGCCTAAAAATTTATTAAAATTGTTAATGACTTATAAATAAATTACCGTAGAGCTTCTTTGATCAGGAATAGGAGTTGAAGTAGTATCTTTTGCCATCATGTCTCTAAGTGATAAAGAGGGTGGGGCAGATTGGGCAGTTATATTGTTACCTTTTCTTTTTCTGCGCTTAGAAGACATTGAATTAATATGAAAAGTATAAAGGAAAACAAACAATTAGTACGAAAAAAAAGAAAAAAAAAATAGCTAAATATTTATGTTATTTATACTTTTTTTAGCTTTCATACCCATAAACTTTATACTTTTTAAGGAATTAATAGTATAATTTGTTTAAATGGATAAATTGACAGTACATAATTATTACACATTAAATTAAATGCCAAATACTGATATAATACTGATAAAAAAGTACTGTTAACTCGTCAAGCATACTAATTAATATAAATAATATATAAATAATTAGCTATCAATAACATTTACACCAAAAAAAATATTATTGAATATTTTACTATTTGAATATGTTTACCTGCCTGTATCAACATTGTGGTGTAACTTTTTCACGTCATGCTACTCTTTGTGAGCATACAAAATCACATAAAGGCCAGGCTTATTGGGAAATATTAACTGACACCTCAAGCAATTTTAACAATCTTAGAGAAAATAATATCACGGTAATTATATAACTTACGCCAATTGCTTTTTTTATATTGTAGATTATCATCGTAATAATCAGTGTAATTATTTGTGCGACACTAGGATCAATTTAATTTTATTGAATTTGAACAAGATGTAAATAACGAAAGTGATGAACAGATTGAAAATAACGATAATGAAGAACAAGGTGATAGTGATGAACAAGTTGAAAATAGCGATAGTGATAATAATGTAAATGATAATGATAACAGTTTTATGATGATGAGCCAATTGAAGGAGATATTAACGAACGAGTTGAACATATTCATAATTATAGTTTACATTTTTCCGAATAAACAAATCAATCAACATCAATTAATATAAGATCAACTCAAAACACTCCAAAATTTCCAGATGCTGCTTATACTGAATTTATGGAACTTGCATCAATACATAAATTTTCTGATTCAGCTGGAAATGATGTATTAAAATGGTTTCGCAAGTACCATCTTCAAGAAAATATTGTTTTACCAACAAATATGGCTCAGGGACGTGAATTTATCAATTCTATGAATATTGATCATTTGTTATACCTTAAAACAAAAGTTTTAACGTATGAAGATGAAGAATATTACCTTCATCATCAGCCTATCTTTGATGCTATCAAAGAACTTTTATCTAACTCTGATATCTTGAAAAATTGTCAATGGGACTTTTCTCCAGAATATATTATCAATGATAATGGACAAAATGAGCGTGTATATGGAGAACAATAGACTGGATTATGGTGGGAGAGTACTCAAAAAGCAGTTGGAATGGGATTAAAAAAGGTTTTATCAATAATATTATATTCGGATGCAACTACGTTAGATCACCTTGGTAAAAGTTCAGAACACCCTGTTTATTTATCTCTTAGAAATATTGCGAACTGACGTAGAAATAAGCGTGACGCTAAAGTCTTGTTAGGATTCTTACCTAAATTAAAACAACTACATAATCGCAAAAATAATAAAGATAATTTTGTGCTTGCTAAAAGAATGTTGTATCAACATTGTTTTGATATTATGACACAACCAATATATGAAAAACTAGAAAATAATGGCTTAGATATGATATTAGATAATCAAATAATTTGGGCTTTTCCCTTTCTATCTGAATTTATTGGTGATCTGCCAGAAGATGCAGCATTGACATTAACTTATGCCTCATCCAGGTGTAAGCGACCTTGTCATATTTGTACTGCAACAATTGATGAGTTAAACAATCCTAATTTGTCACGGTCACAAATAGAATTAAGAACCCCCAAAATATGCATTTTGTTTTAAATAATGATCTTTGTCATGAGTTTTCTATTTATCCAATGCAAAACATATTTTGGAAGTTCCGGTAAGAAGAATTTTTAAATTTGATAATTATTCAATTAATTAATCTTATAAATAATTTTTAATTTATATTTTGCAGTGAACTCAATATTTATAATGCAACGGTACCTGACCGTATGCATCATTGTGACTTGGGCTTATTTAATTATCTACCCGAGATTATATTAAACTATATTGTGGACAAGAAGGCATTGATGAATTTGACAGATGGCTGGCAGAAATACCACGCTTTCCTGAACTTAAACCTTTTAAAAATGGACTTGGTAATATTGCACACTTCACTGCATCAGAATTTCGAAGCATGATGAAGCAATTAATATTTGTTATTGATGGTTTAATTATTGCAAAACACAAACCAAGTTTAAGCCTGATACAGGCAAATAGAGCTCTGAACGGGTCGGGTAGGGTCGGGTAATTGACTTAACCTGACCCGAGGGGGAGTCACGAATTTGATGACCCAACCCGAATATCACGAGTCAGTTCGGGTACCCGACCCGACCCGTTGACCTGATATTTTGGATCAAAAAAAAACGTTTCGGCGTTTTTTATATATCAAATTATAAGAAAAAACTCTAAACGTTTTTTTTTACAATTATTTTGTGGAAAAGAACGTTTCGGCATTTTTCTTACATATTAGATTACGCCAAAACGTTTTTTATATCGGGTCGGGTCGGGTACCCGACCCAACCCGTTGATGTTTAAAAAAAAAAACGTTTTTTTGATTCATTTAATGAAAAACGTCGGGTCGGCTTTTTTTCATTAAAAAAACGTTTTTTTTTGATTTATTTAATGAAATAACGTCGGGTTCGGCATTTTTTCATTAAAAAAAGACGTTTATTATTATTAATATTTTTATGAACAAACGTCAAATTCGGGTCAAAAAAAACGGGTTGGCATTTTTTATATATAAAAAATGCTGAAACGTCTTTTATTGACCCAAAATATATCGGGTCAACGGGTCGGGTCAGGTACCCGACTTGTGACTGACCCGACCCGAGGTCGGGTCATTAAATTTGCTACCCGACCCGAATTTTTCGGGTCAACCCGTCGGGTCACCCGGGTTGACCTGACCTGTTCGGAGCTCTACAGGCAAAACAACATGATTTAAATCTTACAAATTTATTTGTATCTTGGAATAGAATGTATATTTTTAGCCGCAAAGAAACATTTACAGACTCAGAACTTAATAACTTTCAGGTAAATTTTTATAAAATATTTAACAAATTCTTATTATGAATATTAATTTTTTAATTTATAATCTAGGAGATGATTATCAATTGGGCAACAAAATTTATAAATCTATTTATTCCAATTGCAAGTACTGAAATGAAATACCCAAAGTTGCATAACTGGTGTTGTCACATTGTTGACATTATACGAACATATGGTGCAGTTAATAGTTTTACGACTGAGACCTATGAACTGCTACACAAATTTTGTGTTAAAATTCCATATAGAATGAGTAACCACTGAAATGCAACTACACAAATAATAAATACGGTAAATTTATATTTTTTTATTTGATATTCAACCAATAATATTTTTTTTTAATATTTAAATAATAAATATATTTAGGTACGACGTGACAGTATTCTCAATTATCTTCAAAGAATAGCAACATCATCATTTATTAAAAAACATCATCACCGAACCTCTATATTAGGTGGACTTGAGAGTAGCTTTACAATATCTAATTTTGACAGATTTATTAATGAATATAAAGCTGCAAATTTTTTAGTACCAGAAGTTGAAAGGGCATTTGACGTATTAATTGATTCATTAAACCAATATTTTGATCTTATCGAAGATATTACTGAGGATGACGTTGAAACGACACTTGTAAAATGGTATACTAACGCACTAATAGGAGGAATTGATATTGTACGAGCTAAAAGCAATTATTACAACACACCTGCTTTTAGTAATATTGCAGTTAATATGAATGAAGAAGAAGTTGAAACGTATAATACTTTTAAAGGAGCGTGTTTTGCTAAGGTAACTAAATTTAATTATTTAATATTTTTAATACTATTATTATTAAAACTAATAAAAATATTGTATTTATTAAAAGATCTTAATGTTATTTAGTCTAAAAATTCCTGGTCACGAAGAACAAGAATTAGCATTAGTACAACTAATGGTATGATTTTAAATATAATGATTCAAGTAGATTACTCAAATATGATTGTCCGCATATGAAGATTATTCAAATGTTTACGATTATAGCAGTTGATTCTATAATTGAACCAGTTCATGTTATCCTTCATTTTGAAAAATCCAACGAGTACTTTATAAATATGTTTATTTTTTAATATGTATAAAAAATAATATAAACTAGTTGTATTAGTAAAAAGCTAATTAACTTTATATTTTAATAAACTACTTATATTTTTATTTTACACTGGCTTTTTAAATGAAAAATAATACAATATAATAAAGTCCTGAAGTTGTTGAACAAGGTATTGTAATTGTAGTATTGAACGAGGTATCGATCGACATTTTAGTGGATTAATGTATTGTTTAATGTCAGCATTATGATCAACGTTCAATTTGTGATAATCATTACCATGTTCGACATGCTGAATTTTGCAGTTCATTTCACTGTGTTGAATTACGTTTTCATAATTTCCTGATGATGTACTTTGACTTAAAGCATAAATATGAACAGTTAAATAATCTAAGTTCAAGATATGAAAAAGATAAGTATATTGAATGACATTTTTTATATGCTTTAGATTTTCATCCAACTTACCATCAATGAAAAGAATTAAAATTGGTTTAACTTTATTTTCTTTTTTTAAAGTTGCAGTAATACTTTTTAAATCAATCATATAAGTTACTGATGATGTATTGATAAAGTACTCTGGTTTAATAAAAATAGAAAGCTGCCCAATACAAAGAGTATCACTTAAATTTATAATTGTTTTCAAAATTCAATTAGCAAATCTGAAATTCAAAATTATGATCGTAATTAATTACATAATTATATAATTAATTACATGTTATGAAATTAATTATATATTCTGAAATTTCAAAATTTGCATAATAGTGCAAAATTGTGAATATTTTAAAATCTAGTGATTAAATTTCAATTATCTTACTACCATTCAATTTATCTCATTAAGGTGAATCTAATATGTGTTTTATTTCTATAGCATCAATATTGATGGAGTAAAATTACTATAAACATTTAATGAATTTTGGTATTAGAACACGATCTAGTGATTGGATTTAAATGAATTTACCACCATTCGATTTGTCATGATAAGATGATTCTAATGGTCAGTAGTAAGATCATCTTTCTAGTATTGAAATTGACAGAGCTATTATACTATAAATATTTAAAAGTTATTAGTATTAGAGCTAAGGTTGCTTGCCAAAATTTATAATACTAAAATTATTGCTAAAAGTCCAAAATTTGACCAAAATTATTGGTATAATTCTGGCCATTTTTAGGACGTAATTCTGGCCAGAAAATGATCGACATTATAAATTTCCATTTTTGGAAATTTGTATAATCTTTGTAAAACCGATTTCACCAATTTTACTGGGAAACAAAATTTCCTTTTTTTGGAAATTGGTGTAATGTCATGTGATACAATGTCATAATTTCGGCCAAATTTTAATTTTGGCCAAAATTAAGACTGAGTTTTGGCCTAATTTTGGCATTTTTGGCATTTGATTTGATTGGCTGAAATCTTTTGGAATTTCCTTTTTAGTTTTGGCAGGTAACCTTAGATCATTAACACACATTAGAAACTGGTGAGGAATTATTTAATGAAATTTTTATTTTACTATAGCGAAATATCTACTAACATTTGATTTTTTTTTCTTTTTAAATGGTCATTTCTTTTGATTTCTTTAGACGTGTGGAAACTTGATAAGTGAAGGCTTATTTGAATTATTTATTTTAATGAAATGTTTATTAACGTTTCAATTATCGTCAGGCTGGATGTGTAGTCACTACGTTCTTCCATCTCAGCCTTACAGCCTCGCAGTACCTATTTGACCACTACGGGACTCTGTTAACCCCCATATCTGTCCCTATCTATCCCCATATCTGTCCTATAAATATATAACCAAAAAACTAGAAAATAATAGAAAAGGAAGCAAAAAAGGAGAGAATAAGAGGTGGGGGACAGATGGGACAAATGGGACAGATATTTCAGAAATATATGAAAGGACATTCCTCCAGAAAAAGTTTTATTTTTACCCCGAAATGTGTTCCATCGGTCCCGTCTGTCCCAAAAAATCTGTCCCATATTTCTTAGCCTCTAATCAGCTTTTCAAACTGATAACAGGTAGATTAACAGGTAGGTTAACAGGTAGCCCCTAGAAGGTCTGTAGAACCAGTAAGACTAACCCTGTCCTGTCCCCGTCAGAAAAAATAAGTAATTAAACAATGGGTAAACCATAAGTAATATATACTAAGGATACCTAACACGAAACATGCATATGATGAACTTGCACGCAGCCACTTATTTTGCCGAAGACCTTAGTCTCGATCTTGTAGACATCTATGGGATCTGTAAATAGATCCAAATGCAAGCTTCACCCCTTCAATGACCCTGATATAGTAGCAGAGATGGTCAGAAACCTTCCAATTAAAGAATTTGGAAAGCATCTCAAGATAAACAGACTCTGGTATAACTGTTGTAAAGCCAAGTTATGGAAGCAGCATGAGAAAGCAGAGAAGATATACGACAGGGCAGTAGAAAAGAAAGAAAAAGCGGGGGATGCTTTTGGTCGATCATTTGAGGGGAAGGGTATTGGAAATCATGAACTTGAATGGAAGGTATATCATAAGGCTTGTAAAGAGATAACGGAAGCTAGAAAAAAGCAAATTATGGTAAGACAAGCTCTTGGGCGGTTTGGATTTCACTAGATATATGTGGATTAAAAAAGAGGAAGGGAAGATTTAGAGCAGTCGTAAAGGTTTGTGGTTTATAGTTTTTTTTACCCTAGAAGATAACCAGGTATGATCACAAAACCGCAGGACTACAGGAGGATAACCAGGTAGGAGTGTAAATCTTTGGAAAAAATATTCGGCAATTGAAGATTAGGTAACTATAAATTAGTACTTGATTTGATAGAACAAAAAAATGACTGCTCAAACTAGCACTCAAGCTCAAGTTATTTCCAAGTTTGGTGAACAAAAAAAAGCCTTTAGTATCGATAAGCATAAACAGCTTATTGTCACTGCAAAGAGTATGAGCGATCTCAATCAAGCCAAGAGGTATCTTTATGGTTACTTTATCCTCTACTTCAACCCGCATGGAGTCTTCATGTGGCAGTCAGAAATCAAGAACCTTGAGCACATCCCTGATAAAAATATTAGTAAACTTATCCATCCAATTACCAAAGTCTTTTATACACAATCCGAACAAGGTCTTCCACAAAAGGTCGAATTTAATATCAACAAATGGTTTATGATTGAATATAGTACTGTATGTGTAGCTACCTGTGACCCTCAAAAATCCCTTATCTTTAAGCTAGATGGCTAACTTTATCTCAATATCTTTCCAGAATTCCTTTATATTTTGCGTCCAATATTCACCTTTGAGTTTATAACCCATCAGGCGGTTAAATTTATCTTCTCCCACGTTCAGGATATCTGGTGTTTGGGTGATTGGAATCTCACTGAGTATATCATCAAGTGGTTAGCCAGTGTATCTGCTGGAAGGAAGATGTACTCGATTCTTTATCTGAAATTTGGACAGGGTTGAGGTAAGAGTATTATAACAGATTTCATTCAATGTAGCGTCTTAGGTACTCAACTTGTTTATAAGACCAGTGATCCTCAGACAATTCTTGGAAGTTTCAATGGGCAGTTACAGGATAAGGTTCTTCTCCTCCTTGAAGAAATGCCCACAGAAAAAAGCCAGTGGAATAATCTGTATTGATCTTTGAAGGATAAGGTAACAGGTGACATAATGGAAATCCATAAAAAATACAAGACGCCAACACATTACAAGAACTTTATGTCTACCATCATCCTTACCAACAAAAATTGGAGAATGATGACAGACGTACAGTTTTCTTGGATGTATCACCATCCCGCAAGGAAGACCTGAAATATTTCAAAAACTTGGTAATGCAATGAAATATCCGGGTGTTAGTGAGGCATTCTATGCATACTTGAAATTCATTGCAGACGCTTATCTAGACTTCAATGGGAATCTACCACCTATGACAACATCTAAGCAGGATTACATCATATCGACTCTTCCATCCCTATTTCAATTCATAAAGGACACATACCTTGTAGTAAAAAATCATATAACTGATCTACCTGTACAAGAATTTTATAGGGTATATACTTCATACTGTGAAACTTATCACATTACACCTCTTTTAAAGATCAATGCCTTCAGAATCCTATCAAATGAGTTAAACATAAATAGTGATTGAATGTATATTGATAAGAAGCGCACTCAGATTTACAGTATATCCAGGGAGGATCTATACAAGAAGTTTCTCACCAAAAAATGGATCCATCATCAGTAAGTTTTTTAGTATTAGGATCCTTAAAGAATCCTAAAATCCATAACATAAGAAGGATCCTTAAAGAATCATCCTCTCCGCTGAAGGTTCCTTATTGAAAAAAAAATTAAGAAATCCCTAAAGGTTAAAAAGAATCTTTAGAGATATTATTTAAAATACCTTTAAGGATATTGTTTAAAAGAAACTTTAGGGACATTATTTAAGTAAACCTTAAGGATATTATTTAATTATTTAATTTTTTATTAATTATTTATTATTTCGAAATTTATACAATTTTTACTCCTAATTTAACTATCTAATTCTTGGTTACTATCATGATTATAATTATTTTCTAATTCTTGATTATCCCCAATTCTTGATTATCCTCCAATTCTTGATTATCCCCTAATTCTTGATTATCCTCCAATTCTTGATCATAATTACTCTCACTATCACCGCTATTGTTGCTACTAGTATTACTATCATTTTCTTTACATAGTTCCATAAGTCTAATTTGTTTAGTAGTATTTGCGGTTATCTCCTTTGAATTAGAAAGACAATCCTAAAAAAATTTATTAGTAAATATTTTTTAACTAACGAATTAAATAATTAATATAATACATATTGCATACCAAATAAATATAGCATTCGAATGCTTTTTTGGTTTTACGTGATTGTTTAAATGAACAAATATCATCAGCTGATGCAGTAGTATTTATATGAACTAGCCAATCTTCACCAAATATGTCAAATATGGCAGCACGGATATCTTTGGTTTTATCACAACGCCAACTTTTAATTATATCATTACACTAAAAATAGAAATTTTATATTAATAGTTATTATTTAGTATTACTATTAATAAAACAAACAAATCCATAATTACCAAAGGTTTAATTCGTCCTTCATAAATATGCATCCATTGAGGTCCATGCTTCTCAATGTATCCAGGTTTTTCTTGTTCAAGCATAGCCTCAAATGCTTTTTGAAATGCAATACCTTCTGTATAAATCCCAAGAATGGGTAATTGAATTTTACAAGTTTTTGATGCTAAATTCTAAATACATAAAAATAAGTAGTCGATAAATTTAGTAAAAAAGCAATTACAAATTATACACACCTTCCAATAAGAGTTTTCAGGAATCATAAATTGGTCAACTTTTTCCAATAGTTCATTTAATTGTTCACGAGTTTTCTTATAAAATTCCTTTTGCTCGTTTTTAACATCATAAATTACTTGAAATATTTCTTTATTTTGAGTTAAACAGTTTTTTAAACCTTCCATAAGATGATAATAAGATGTGTTTATCATAAATCAAAATTAAAATGTATATTTTGATTATGCTTATGATAATGACAAATAACACATCTTACTATTAGTCTTGTTTGATATTTGTCCTACATTAATATCTGCAACTTCACGATCCATTTCAACTTGCATTGCAGTATTACATTGTTCTGTTTGATCTGCATCAACGATAACAATAGGTTCAAGCGTAATGGGATTTTTTTTCTTTCGCTTTGTGACTTTTTTTTTATAATAAATAAATATAAATTTGTTAGTTTTCACTTCTCACACTATATTATGAACTTATTATTGTCGTTTAATAAAATAATTCTATTATTAAAGATATTACCTTTAGAATTAGAACCCAACTTCAAAGCAATTTTGTCTGCTTCGCTAACTTTTCTCCTGGAATTATCAGTAGTTGCGTTAGATGTCTTCTGAGTTTCTTTTAAGACTTTTCAGGTAGGTGCTACAATAATAAATAGAAATATAAAAATTTAATTTCTAATATATTCAAATTATTTTATTGTTGAACGTATTACTTGCCTTTTTTCTTAGTCATAATGATGTCTTATATCACTGAAGAGCAAAATATTGAAAAGTTTTATTTTGTCTTTTTGAGATTTAGTGAATTGACACGAAAATAATTTACACGTTAAAGAAGTAAAAAAACCTTACTTGCCGTGATATATATAAAAAAAAATTCGAGAAAGAAATAGAATTAAAGTAAAAAAAAAAAAAGTTTAAATAAGTTATTTTCTATCTCCACAAAATCAATGTAAATTAGACTATTATCCCTGAATACTTACTAATCAATTACATAGTAACAAACATAATGATTAATTAAAATCAGTAAGAAAACGATGATAACTGAAACTAATTAATTCATTTATCTTCGTCTATTGTAAATTTAACTTCTTTCCACATTTCCCTTATATATTTCATCCAAAAATATTTTTTGAAAGACAATATATGCCAGCGTCAAATATTTATGGTTTAGAAATTATTATATATTTGGATAATATTGGAAAAAATATAAGATTAGGTAATTATTTCTAAAAAGTATTAATGGTGGTTTGGTAGTACAACTGAACTAATATTTTTTGGATGATATAAGGTTCTCGGCAAACTAGTAAAGCAATAATTCTGGTTACTAATTAATAGGAAGGAGTAAGAAAGAGTGAATAAGAAAATTAAAGAAAGACAAAATACAAAAATGTATAAATGTAATTTCTGTGAGAAAGGTTTTTCACGAAGAGAGAGTCTTACACAACATTTTAATCAACTCCATCCGTACTTCCAACAGTCACGAACACTAAATTGGGTACAAGATCAATGATATGAGTACCAAAAACCACCTCGATCTTCAGACAATCTTGCTGAGGCTGAGGCAGATAATTTATTACCAATAGATGATCAAAATCTGTTACCATCGCAAATTTCAAGTTTTGGAAATGATGAAAGGATTGAAATCGATGATGATGATGATGAAAGGATTGAAGACGATGATGATAAAAGGATCGAAGATGTTGATAGTGATGATGGTGAAAAAATTGAAGACGATGATGATGAAAGGATCGAAGATGTTGATGGTGATGATGGTGAAAGGATCGAAGACGATGATGATGAAAGGATCGAAGATGTTGATGGTGATGATGGTGAAAGGATCGAAGACGATGATGATGAAAGGATCAAAGATGGTAATGGCAATAATGGTGAAAGGATCGATGAGGATGAAAGTATCGATGATGATGACGATTTTCACGATGGAAGTTATATTGCTGCACTTGATGATTTAAATGACAATAATAAACAAGAAACCGTTACATGGTCAAGTCAGACATATAAAAAATTTATAACAGCAATAATACAGTATCGTATTTCAGATGCAGCAAGTGATGCAATGTTATAAATAATAAAAAAGAATTGTATTGAACCACTACCTGCTTCTACACGAAAGGGACAATTGTATATGGATACAATGAATATTAAAGGTCTTCATCTAAAAACACAAGATCTCGTTGAATTTGAAGGAATAACTTATAAATTACATTATCGTCTTATTATTGATGCAATAAAAAGTCTCACATCTAATCAAGAATTATGTAAAGAATTTTTTCTTGATTATAAGGAAGAGTGGGAATCTTGTGATGTATGTATAAAATTTTAACAATAACTATTTTTATAATAAATAACTAATAATTGATATTTTATTTAATAAGGACAGAACTTTGATGCGAGTATATTCAGAACAAAATACTGCAGAATGGTGGCATGAAAGAGAGTCACCTTTTAGTAAAATTCTTGCAGTAATGTTATACATTGATGGTACTGCAACGACAGCTTCTGCTACTCTATCGCCACAAGAATTTCGTCTCTCTCATAAAGTCATAAAATTTGTAATTTAATAAAAAGTTTATTCTTTATTATGTAAGAATATGTTATTATAACACAGTTATTTATTAAATATAAAATAATATAATCATAAAATTTCGTCAGAACATTATAAAATAATTATGATAATTAAAATGATAGTTTTTATTAAAAAAATTAAAAGAGATTAAAAGAATCTGAAAGGAACTAAAAGAAACGGAAAAAGGAACTAAAAAAAAACAGAAAGGAACTTCCTAAGAAAAGGAACTGCTAATAGTGCTCCGAAAAAAATCTGATCTGATCAGATTTGATCTGAATCTGATCTGTCAGATTCAGATCAGATCAGATAAATTTAATCTGCAGTTCAGATTCAGATCAAAAAAAATTTGATCTGAACAAATCAGATTAGCTTCAGATCAAATCAGATCATATCAGATCAGATTCAGATTAGGCTTATTTAAAATCTGAATCTGATCAGATTGTATCTGTCAGATTTGATTCAGATCTCAGATTTGATTTTACTAATAATTTCAGCCGAATTCATAATGCCGGCTGGAATTAATTCATAATTTTAAACTCCAGCCAAAACGGATATATCGATCATTTCCTTTTTTTGGCGATAGCCGTTCTACAAAAATCGATTTTTATAGGAACCACTTTGGCATTTTATGTAACCTTAATTCCTTTTTAGGAAAATCCATAATTCCTGCCAGAGTTAAGTGCATAATTCTGGCCGAATTACATATTTACAAATTATAGCTTTAGAATTTATAACATATTTATTCAGATTCAAATCAGATTCAAATCAGATCAGATTTAATCAGTTTTGAATCAGATCAGATCAGATTTGAATCTGATTAAATCTGATCTGATTCAGATTAAATTTTAAACCGATCTGATTCAGATCAGATCAGATCAGATCAGATTTAATTAATTTCAGATCAGATTGAATCTTAGTAAAATCTGATCTGATCTGATCTGTTAGGAGCACTAACTGCTAATACTAAGTTAAAAAGTTGGAGTTTATATAATAATTTACATGTTGATTCTTTGATCAACGTAAATAATAATAAATTAATTGTAACTTATTACATCATTATTACTATTAGGATGATCTTCATTTCTGATCCAAATTACTTTGGACTATTAATATTACACAAAATATAGACGATCCCTATAATTCCAAAATACTCTATTATTTAAATTAAAGTTAATTCTGGAATTATGGCACTACAAACTTTCCTCCCCCTTAAAATTTGTGTCCTCATAAATTTCCAAATTAAAATCTGTATCATAAGATCAAAATAAAACGCGTCCTATTGATTAATTATTCCTTCTACTAATTTTAGTAAATCACGACATTTATTTCATACTAACTCTAATCCATTATTCTACCCCTTAATTTTCCGCATATTACTAAAAATAAATCTCTAATTTTAACAAATCGCGATATTAATGTTTCACCAAATTAATTTGTTTTTAACTCCTTAAATTAATTAACGTGTAGTTCTTTGTTCTAAAAATAAATTTCTTTTTCTATAAATTTCCACGTGGGGTTTTCATCAAATCTTTTCATGATAAGTTTGTTTTGTTTAATTTTAACGCTTTCTTCAAGTCGCGTCTTTTTCTCTATATAAGACCCCGCTTTTTCCTTTTTTTTTCTTTTCTCATTCATTTATCGTTATAAAATATTTTCCTTTACCCTTTAAAATATATATACTCTTTCGTCATGACTTCTCGCCGCTCAGTTTCTTCAAATAAGAAATCTCAACTTCGTTATAAAGCTCTCAAGGCTTCTCGTAAAACTGAAATAGCTCGACTTAAGGGTGGTGTAAACAGTCAAATATCAAGCACGAAAAGATAATAAAATTCAATCACCAAATGTAATTGCCAAATATTAAGAACGAACAAATTAATTATGAATTGGCGTAGATGGATAAATAATTAGCCGAAAAGGATAAACATTTAAGAAGAGCAATGATCTACATGATGTAATATTTATCGGATGATTAACAAAGAACCAATAGAATAATTAGAGTCGATCAATTGCGGCTTAGCAATCTTTAACAATAAGAATAATTAGAAAGAATAATTATAAGCCACAAAAGGTAGATCATATAAAATGGAGGGATAGCGGACTAAAGAAACACGCATAACGAAAATTTCTAAAAAATTCATTCTTAAATTTTATTGTTTTGAAGATAAACTTCTGATTACAAAATTTACAATATATCTTAAATTTTACTTCCATAAATAATAATATAAAAAGATAGTTTAAAGATGGATCATAAAATATAGCATATTAAAAGATAGCGTATTTAAAATATAGATAGCATATTAGAAAGATAGTTCAAAGATAATATGTAAAAAGAACATAAAAGATAGTATATAGATAGAATAGAAAGTAGCATAAAAATTGTATATATAGAGAGCGGAATTCAAGGTAATTCCTTAGTTCTCATCCACAGAACTCAATAAAAATATAAGTTTCATTTAATTATTTGTTAGTGAAGTTTAATATTAATTAAAGGTAATAGGTTCGCCCTAAACTTTAATTAATGTTCGCTTAATTAATTTTAATTGAATAAAATGAAAATTTTAAGATGAATTAAATATACACTTTTGGAAAGTAATAATTCGTAGCGAGAGCTATCAAAGTTTGAAATTAAAGGTAAAAGTGGATATAATTTGGGGAAAATTTAGAGAAGTTAAATTTATTTTATATCGTTCGACGTTTTATATTACTAACGCTATTTATGTCGTGAACCAAGAATGTTGTTGTATGTTGTTCGTTGATTATGTTGTTTGATAATTATGCTGTTCGTTTATTTGTTCGTTCGTTCGATTATCTGTTCGTTCGACCATGAGAATGCCCGTTCGATGTGGCAACTCTGTAAATTGATGACAGAGGGAATTGGGGGATCTCAGTGGGTATCATACGCAAGGTCCTTAGGATGTCTCTTGAATGGGATTTAACTGTAGACGGGGTTTTTAAACTTAAGTTCCGGTTCTTGAATGGTTGATCTTTTGACCTGTAGACGGGGTTTCTATACTTCTAGGGCTAGTCTTGAATGCACTCTCCTGTAGAACTCCTTTGTACTATTGACTTTATTCACTTAGTTTTTTAACTAATAATGGTATGAATTTCTTCTTCTCTTTTTTCTTTCCTTCTAACAGAACAAACAGAATCTCTCCAACGCAAATTGGATAAAATGAAGGAGCGAAACGAATCTCTCTTTGAAAAGAATGTTCATTATTTGACTTCCGGTTGGAAGTTACAAGATCNCTGTCTCTTATACACATCTAGATGTGTATAAGAGACAGATATAAGACCCCGCTTTTTCCTTTTTTTTTCTTTTCTCATTCATTTATCGTTATAAAATATTTTCCTTTACCCTTTAAAATATATATACTCTTTCGTCATGACTTCTCGCCGCTCAGTTTCTTCAAATAAGAAATCTCAATTTTGTTATAAAGCTCTCAAGGCTTCTCGTAAAACTGAAATAGCTCGACTTAAGGGTGGTGTAAACAGTCAAATATCATAGGAAAAAATTTCAATAAAATTTTATATTTTACTTTAATAATTGTGCTTTTACTTTTTATTTTGTAAATTAATTAAGATATTTATCTAAGTTCTCTTGTGAAATATCTCTTCAATAATTCTCCATTTGTAGGGTTTCTCAATATTTTTCCATTTAACTCTTTTAATTTATAAGATCCATTTAATAGTATTTCATGTATTAAGTATGATCCTGACCATTTATCGTCTAATTTATTTGATTTAGAATTTTGTTGTGCTGCGTTATATCTTAATACTTCGTCTCCTATTTTAAATTCTTTTTTCCTTTTACTTCTGCTATCGTGATATTCTTTCTGTTTCACCTGAGATCTTAAAATTTCTTCTTTTGCTATATTTCTTTGAAAAGGTAGTTCTTCTATAATCTCATTTAGTCTCTCTGTGATTTGGGTTTCTTCTTTAATGAAATTAGCTTCTCGTCCATATACTAAATAAAATGGTTTGGTTTTTGTTGAAGAGTGGGTTTTATTTCTATATGCAAATAATACTGATGGTATTTTATCATCCCATTGTTTATCTTCTTGTAGCTTAACTAATGATTCGCATAGTGTCTTATTGAATCTTTCTACTAATCCATTAGTTTGGGGATGATAACTCATTGATAAATTATGTTTTATTTCAAACTTTTTAGTTAATAATTCTACCATCTTATTGTCGAAATATTTGCCTCTATCACTAATTATTTTTCGTGGACAACCATGTCTACATATAATATCTTTGTAAAGAAATTTAACTACTTCCTCAGCTGTATCTCTTTTAGTCGCTCTTGCTTCTGGCCATTTGGTAAAATAATCCATTGCTACAATTATATATCGATTTCTCTTTTTAGTAGCAGGTAATGGTCCTACAAAATCAATTCCTATCTGATAAAATGGGGTTTTAATGCTGATTGGGCTTAATTCATTCTTCCCTTGGGGTTTATTTCTTCTTTGACATCTATCGCATGATCTAACATAATTTTCTATATCTTTCATCATTTTATTCCACCAATATCTTTCTCGTATTTTATCTTGTATTGCTTTTATTCCAAAATGTGCTGATAATTCATAATCGTGCATCATATATAATAGTCCTTCAATTTTATATTTTTGTATTACTTTAAGTAATTTACCTCCCTTTATTCTATAGAGTTGGGCTTCTTTTAATTCGAATTTGGGGTTTTCATAAATATTTTTAACAATTTTATTATATTCGTTAGTTTCCATTTTTTATTATTTTTAAAATTTCATTATAGACAATTTTCCAACTTTTGTTATCGTTCTGGATTTTTACTGCTTTATATTTCTTTTTGTTGTCATATATTGTTTGATTTTGTTTGAACATCTTAACCATTTCCATATATTCGTTTTCTTTGAGTGTATTACACAGGTCGAAAAGTGAAAAATCAGGCACCAATCGGTCACCAATCAGGTAGCTGATTGGTGACTGATTGGTGACTAATTGGTGCCTGATTGATGCCTGATTTTTCACTTTTCAACCTGTGTTATATGACGCTTTATGTCCTCCATTACTCTTTTTAGTTTCTCTTTCTATGTAATTTTTCCAACATACGTCATTTTCTAAAAATATAACTGTTGCATTATCAATTATATCTTTGTATTTGAAAATTTCTTGTTCCATTTTAAAATTTCCAAAAGGTCTTATTGTTCCTCTATCAAAACTACTTGTCTTTTGATAAAAATATTTGCAGTATGGGGATTTATTCACTATAATTATATCTTCGTCAGTATATGTTACTAATCTCTTATTAATTTGTTCAACTACTTCTTTTCGAAACATCCATTCATATTTAATGGTTGGGGTCTCAAATAATTTATTATCACCTCTCCTTCTTTTGAAAGTGTTAAAAATGATTTTAAGATTTTGGGCTTCAATTTTCCTAATTATATTTTCTACTATAGTAGTTTTTCCTACGCCATCTACTCCATCGATTATTATTAAAATGGGTTGGGTTTTTCTATTATTTCGTTTTAACAAAATTTCTTTGGTCCTTCCTCCTAACTTGAGTAACATCGCTTCATTATCTGTAAAATATTTGACTCAAAATTTGGGTTTTTAGTATATGAAATAAAATGCCATTCATCTTTTATTTTTACATATTTTTGTTTCATTTTGAAAATTTGAGTTTGGGTTTTATAAAAATTGGGCTTTATTTATAAAATTTTAATTAATATCTTAAGAGTTCCATGTTTTCCATGAAAGGATCTACATCTATGTCTGAACTAATTGTTATATTAAGATCTATTATTTGATTAAATAGCACGTTTCCAAAATTTATTTCTTGCTCTAATTCCTCTATCCTCTCTTTCAAATCATTATTTTTGTTGACATTTTGTTAACAAAATATTACCTCTCTTTTTTTAATACATTTACCCGTTTATTTCTTCTGTCATATTTATTTTTGAAATATTTCATCCACTCTTGAGCGTTCATCACCATATTTGCATTTTCATTGCACATTCTCGCTGTTTCGTTAAGTTGATATTGGGTTTCCTCTAATTGATTCCTTAATCCTTCATTCATTTGGTCCTTTATTGCAATTTCATTTTCTAGTTTTGCAATATGGTTTTGAAGTTCAATTATTCTGTTATCGGTGGGATTTACTTCTTGAATTATATCCATTATAGGAATGGGGTTTTCTAATAATTCTTCTTCTGGCCATATGAATTCTCCATTCAATTCCCATGGTTGTCTGATCTCTTTAGTCTATTCAATAGTATCATTAAAGGTTCTAATAGGTATAACTTGGGTTAATTCTTTATTTTCTATATGTTCAGATATCATATCTGTTATCTCTGGTGGTACTATAACATCCAAAGCTTTTTCAATCTTTTCTTTTGGATATTCAGAAAATATCCTTCCCTTGAACTCTTTATTAAGGTATTTTTGGATTTTTCCTGACATTTTATTGATTTTATCCTGTTGTTCACTCTTATCATCTTCATCTTCTGGATCATATCCAAATTTATATATCCAGATTTGTAATTTCTCTTGAATTAATTGGGATTGGGGTTTTCCTGATTTATCCTTGTTAATCATATTCATAATAGTTAACACTCCATTACATTCCTCTCCACATACTATAGCTATTGATGATCTTGACTCGAAGTCATCGGTTTGTAGTCGGCAAACTATACAAGTCTTTATACAGGAGGTGCTTCCTGTTCATTTTAATCTTTCTCTTTTCTCGTCACATTTGTCACAAATACCTAAATTATTGATACAATTGATGGGGCTTTCCTTTCTGTTACAATTTGTACATTTGATTTCAGTGTATTTTTGTTTCCCTTTTCCCTTATTTTGGGGCTTTGGTGGGTCTAACTCCATATCTTGCATTGGGTCTTTAGGTTCTGATATATTAAATTTGGGCTTTTTGTTACATTTGTCAGTATCTGGTGTAGGTGGTCTTTTGTTATTAACACTATTCTCGTGACATTCATTGCATCTTAATTTTCCTATTTTATAATTACTGTATGCCTCATAGAATACTACAGGTTTCTGGCAAGTGCAACAATGATTGCCTCCTTTAAATTGGGTTTCTGATCTTCGTCTTTTACATCTCCTTCCATCACATTTGCATAGGTATAACCTATTCCAATAGTATAACTTATCATTGCATACCTCCTTACTATGTCCCCAAGATCCACATCTTTCACATTTAGCTTTATTACAATTATGTGATGGGTGATAGGTTACTGTTGAATGTTTAAAGCATTCCATAGGCTCTTTATGCTTTTGCATGTTGCTTATCACAACCTTTAGTTCTCCATACTCTCTATCCAGGCTATAATGGTTGTTTTGACATCTTCCTGCACATCTTTTACACCTTTGACCTAAATCAGTCTTGATCCTAAAATTCTGAGGATTGGGCATGTTAAGAACTTCCTTTAGTTGTTCAACTGTTGAGTTCATTTTGAATTTGGATCTTAAATTTTGATTTTTAGATTTTGGGTTTTTAGTTTCTTTGAACAATTATTAGTTTATTATTAAAACTATGATTTGTATAATTTCTTTTTATCGTTCTGAATGTTGTCTTTTTATAATAATTTTCCTTCCCGCAGTTGAATGATCATCATTAATTTTACTGGTGCATCTTTTAGATGATCTTGGCGTATCTTTTAAATTATTGTTTACATCTTTAAACAAACAAATTCTCCTCATGATAATTTGTTTATATTATTAGAATAATATTAAAATTTGGGTTTCGATTGTTTTAATCTAATTTCTGATTTTCCATCTAGAAATTCTAGGAATCTTTTACGCCAAGAAGTGTTTCATTACTAATTTTATTTCCTTAATTATTCAACAAGATTTGGGCTTTTAATTTGTACATTACACTGAATTAATTAATCTTAATTATTGTTTATATTTTAACCTTGAAAGTGCGTCAGCATTACCAGAAATCATATTGTTGTAATTTCATTATCCATCTTGCGCGCCTTCCTTTTGGAATCTTTTCATTTACTAAACTTTTAAGGGCTGCATGATCTGTGATTATCTTAAATCTTTTATTTATCAGAAATTTATGGAAATATTCAACTCCATATACGATTGCCAAGCATTCTAAATCTGTTATTGAATAATTTCTTTCAGTTTTATTGGTGCTTCTGCTGGCATATACTATCACAACTTCCTTATCTTTATCATTTTTCTGAGCCAATATAGCGCCTAATCCATCTGCTGATGCATCTGTTATCAAAATAAATTCTTTTTCAAAATTTGGATGTGACAAAATTGGGCTTTCAGTTAGACATTGTTTTAACCATTCAAAGGTATCTTGTTGTTCATTTGTCCATTCATATGGGACATCTTTCTCTAATAATTTATATATTTGTTTAGTTCTCTTGGAGAAATCTTTAATAAATCTCCTATAATATGAACATAATCCTAAGAATGATCGTAATTCTGTTAAAGTTTGGGGTTCTTTTATTTTACTAATTGTTTCTACTTTCTTAGAATTGGGTTTTATTCCTTCTTTACCAATTTCATGACCTAAAAATTCAATTTGTTGTTCACAGAATCTACTCTTCTTTAACTTTACAACTAAATTATGTTCTCTTAATTTTTGTAATACTTTAGTCACATGTATGATATGATCTTCAAAATTTTTAGAGTGTATCATTATGTCATCAATGTAAACTTCAACAAAATCTCCAATAAAATCGTATAAAACATTATTCATTAACCTTTGAAAGGTAGCTGGGGCATTTTTAAGTCCAAATGGCATAACATTAAATTCAAATAATCCTAATGAACATACAAAAGCTGTTTTTTCTTTATCATCTTCGTTCATTTCTACTTGATGAAATCCTGCTGCTAAATCCATACTTGTGAACCATTTTGATGTTTCATATCGTTCTAGTAATTCATCAATTCTCGGTAAAAGATATGTGTCTGTTTTAGTAACTTTGTTAAGTGCTCTGTAATCAATACAAAATCTATAGGTACCACTTTTCTTATTTGCTAATGTTACTGGGGATGCCCAAGGACTATATGATGGTCTAATCCTTCCTACTCTCAATATTTTCTCTATTTCTTTCTTTATGAATTTCTTTTTCTCCAAAGTTTTTCTATAACCTTTTTGTAAAATTGGGGTTTGACCTTCATTTATTATTATACGATGTTTAACATTTGGTACTAAATTGGGTTTTTCCTTATCATATTCCATGATATCCATATATTCTATTACTAGTTCTTTTGTTATTCTCTCTTGGTTTTTATTTAAATTTCGTAATTTTAACTTTTCTAGCATCTTTTCTGTCTCTCCCTTTTCTGGGCCAAGACTCATTATTTTACTTCTTCTTCATCTTTGCTGATGTACTCTTCTTCTAAATCTTCAACTCTAAAAGTTTCAATTTCTTCATTATCTTCGTATGTGGGGTCTTCTTCATCATCAGTGTATTCATCTTGAATTGGGGTTTCAAATTTAACTCTATTACTTTTGATATATTCAATCGGTATGTATATTTCATGTCCTCGATCATTTAATGTTAAGGTATGGGTTTCAAAGTCTATATTAGCTTTCCAATCACTCATAAAATCATTGCCAATTATTAACATTCTGTCTTGTGAATTAATTACTTCAACTTCAATTTCTGTTATTATTTCATCAATTTCAATTTCTATGGTTGATTTTCCTAATGATGCTATTTTAGATCCATTTGCCATTATACATCTTACATTACTTGATCTTTCAATTTCGTTTCCTGTTTCTATTAATAATCCTTTTGATATGGCACATGTAGCTGCTCCAGTATTTACTATGGCCTTAATTTCGATTCCATTTATAAAAATTGGGGGTTTCATAGTTATTGTTACTTCTTTATTTTTATCATAATATTTTAATTCTTTTTCGTCCAAGTGTAGTCATTGTTGATTTGGTGTTTTAGGTACTCTTTGTCTTTGAAATGCTTTCTTAACTTCCATACTATATTTAGGTGCTGCTGCTACTAATTGTGCAAAATTAATATTGGGTTTTATATTTTCCAAATCGCTTACTATATCATAATCTTGTGCATCAGTTTCGAATCTACTAGGTTTAATTTGAAATTTTCCTTCCCCTTTTCTAACATATGGTCTTCTAACTCTCTCAGTCATCTCTATATCATTGTTTACTGGTTGTCTTTTAATAATTGGATCTCTATTAGGTAATGTTTTATTACCTACTAATAAGGTTGCTTGTCTAAACCTCTTCAAAATCCTACGATTAGTTTCATCAAAATTTTACTATAGATTTATTATAGTTTCGGCAGAGTTTCAGCAGTTTCGGCATTTATAATAAGTTTCGGCAGTTTCNAGTTTCGCCTTTCTCCAAAGTTTTGCCAGTTTTTTAATATAACTTTAATATAGTTTCGGCAGAATTTTGCTTTTTGGCGAAACGCCATCTTGCCTAAACCCCTAGGTTTCGGCAAGCAACCTTACCTACTAATGGGTTGTTTCTTACTTGACTCCTAGTTGTCCTTTCTGCTGGGTAATATTCATTATCTTGATAATATAACTCATTTTGGGATTCTTTATCAAGATAAAAATATTGTTGATAATCATAATCAAAGTAATAGTATAATCCTGTTTCATCGTCATAATGATAGTCTTGATTATCATCTTTCATATCAATCACATTATATTGTCGAGTATTTTCTCTACAAAATCTGGCAGTATGTCCTAATTTACCACAATTATAGCAGTTAACTCTACTCCAATCTATTGGTGGTCTTTGTTGAAATTGGGGCCTATTCGTTTGACGTCTTGGTGGTCTAAATTGGGTTTTTGAGTGTTATTATTATTATTCATCTCATTTTTAATACTTAATATTTCTTTCTCTAATTTAGCAATTTTTAATTCTTCCAATTGTTTAGCCAAGTTATCTACTTCATTTGTAATATTATTATTATTAGCTATAACAGTTGGGGTTTTACTTGTTGAGCTTTCATTTATATTTAAATTGGGAATTCCCATTTCTTGTAACATCAAATTATTACCTGCTTCTATACTTTTTGCTCTAGTAATTGCATTAACTAAAGTATCTGGATTCCCTTCAAATGTCCTTCCAGCGACTATAGGATTTAACCTTTGTATAAAATAATTTACTCTAAATCTTTCATGTAAATCACCAGCTTCTGGTGCTACTCTTTTTAATAATTTACTAAATCTTGCCGCATATTCTCTCACTTTCTCTCCATCTTTTTGTTTAATAGATTGTAACTCCCTTGTCCATTGTTGTTGTCTGACAGGACTGGCATATTTACTTTTCATTTCATATGCTAAACTAGTATTATCGTTTGCATTATCAAAACCAGCTAGATTTCTTAAAGCAACTGTTCCTTCTAACCAGTCTGCTGCTTCTTCTCTTAAACATGGTTTTGCTCTTACTAATTTTGCTGCTTGATCATCAACATACCCGTTTCCTGCATATACATTATTGAAATCTCTGATCCAATCATTAGCATCTTGATCTCCTCCATAAAAGAGTGGTAATTCTGCTATTTTAGCAGCTCTGTGGATGGGGTTTATCATGTTTGTCAAAGTGGCATTAATTGTATTAGCTGGGGCTGTATTCAAGGCTACTCCTGGATCTATCCCTAGTAAGAGGGTGTTCATTACAGTTCTAATATTTTCTCTTATTTCATTCCTAGTAGCTGCCATTATTAGTGGTGGACTATTACTTCTAGTTGAATTTCCTGAAGTTGGGGTATTTGTTCTTGTATTATGTGTACTATTATTTTCTGTTGTATTATTACTTGAATTTTCTGATTCTTCAGAACTTGAGGGATTTAGTGAGGTTTTTATAACATTTTCATCTTCATCAGATGAAAATTCATCATGTGACTCCTCAATTTGGTGTTCACTTATCCATCTATCCAATATTGTTTTTAACACGTCATTACTTTCTCCTTCATTTTCAATATAAGTCTCTATAAACCCTTTTAAATATATTTGTGCTGGGTTGTATCCTAATGTGAATATTATTCTCATCAAGTCTTCTTTCTCTATTTGTATTCCTCTTTCTTGTAATATTTCAATTATTATATTATATTCGTCATTTTCTTCTTTCAAATTTGGGTTTTCTATCACAATTTCTCCTTTAAATCCATTAGTTGTTAGTAATTGGGTTTCTATAGCATTTGTGAGGTAATCACTCTTCCATGGTTGGTGATAATAAGTGTCCTTTTTGTGAAATTTTATGCTCTTTTGTAATTCTCTAATTTTATTCCTATTTACTCTAATTTTCTCTCCTAAATATAATATATCTCTAAATATTCTTAATGTCTCAACTTGATTGAATAAATCATATGCTGTAGTTTCTAAAGTTATCCAATTCCAAAATTCTGTAAATCTATGATTTAATTCTCTATCATCTATTATATAACCATATTTTTGTAGTTCACATATTTCCTGTAAAGTTTCATAGAGTTGGGCTTTATTATCTACGAAATAAATACTTCCTTCTTCATTATAATTATAACAATTTTGTTTAATTTCCCATATAATGTAAATTAAACCTTCTAGCTTATAGTGGGGTTTTCCTCTATAACTAATTGACCATATAAGATTTGTTGCTTCTCTTGTAATCTTATCTTTATTACTCTCTATTATTTCTCCAAAAGAAATTATTGTTTAGATGTATAACTATCTTCGTAAATTTGGGTCTCTATTCCACATAAAATTTCCCAGAATTTTAAAAATTCTTTTATTATATTCTCCTGTATTATTGCTATTGAATAACATCTTCTACACGCAAAGTTTAAAACTGGGTTTTCCACACGTGAAGTATGTTTTTATGTATTATGCAATGTCCTATGTTGTAACCAATGATCATATATATCTGACATCTTATTTTTTATAAAATTTTCAGAGTTGGGGTTTATGATATATTTATACTTTTAAATTATTTTGATATTTCTTTTTGGTTTTTAACTCTGTTTTTATATTAATTATTCTTTTAATTATACTCTCTTTTATGTCCATTAGAGTCTCGTAATCTCTTCTAATTTTTCTTTCATATTTTCTTAAATCTCTTTCTAATCTTATTTCTTTCTCAAAATCTTCTTCAGTTGGTTCAAGTTTTCTCCTAATTTCAATTATTTTGTCCTTGTAATAAAATATGGGCCTACGTAATGATTTTTCTTGATATAGACATTCGTGATATGCTTTTACTAAAAATTCTTTTTGTTGTTTGATATCCATAATTTAATTTGTTAAATTGGGGTTATATTCAATTCATTATATTAAGTTGGGGTTTTTATGGTATTTATAGCTTTTTAGTGATTTTCAAACATTTGTTCAGTCTGATTTAAACAATATTCTTCATACTCTTTATCAATTTCAATTTGATTATAGCATATGCAATGTATTTTATTACAACATGGGTATGGTATTGGTGACATTGCTCTCTCTTCTCTTTCAAAGTCATTATCACTTAAATTTTCGTTACTATCATTCTCTGATTCAGTTGGGGTTTCATCTTCACTATCCTCATAATCACTATCTAAGTCGATTTCATCATATTCTAATTGGGTATTACATTGTATGATTTTATAAGATATCTCTTCATTAAATTCTCTAATTCTTTTATCGATTTTTCCAAGACTTAATTCATAAGTTTGAATTTCATTTTCCATACATCTTTCTTTAAATTGTTCTATCCGACTTAAAGGTTTGGGCTTTTCTTGTAATTTTAACCATCTTTCTCTGATTCTATCAGCCATTTTACCTAATATTTTTATATCCTCCATTGTCATTCCATACATCTTGGTGAGGTAGTTTCGTTGAGCTTTAATCATATCTCTATCTTCATCTTTAAGTATAACTTGATTATGGTAGTTTCTAATTGTTATCATTTTATCTCAAATTATAACGATAATAAATTTTATCAAAAATTATTTTCAATATCTCACAAATAAGGATGATATATACTGCAAATGAGTATCTTGATATTATTATTTTTGTTAATAAGAGTATTTCTTCAATCATTTGAATGATCTTTCAGTTGGTAATTTTGGCATTCCTTTTATAGACAATTCGGATATTTTATCGGGTATCTTACTAAAATTTTTAGATAGCTCCCGCCATCATTTCTTTCTTTAAAGGTGGGTTTTATATCTCAGTTTCTTTGGGTTTCAAAGGTGGGCTTTATCTACGAATTTGGGCTTAAAGCTTGGGTTTTATTTATATTTTATTGTGCTTAGAAGTGGGTTTTCAACTCATAAATTGGGATCTTTATATGGATTTTACCATTCTTTTGGGATTTTAATACATCATTTTGTGCTTTAGAATTGGTCTTTAATCATCAGTCAACATTGGATTTAATATAGGGATTTTAAATTGGGATTTTTACTTTCGTTTAATACACAATTTTGGGGCTTAAAAATTGGATTTTATCACTCTCTTTATTAAATTTAGGTTTTTACGAAATAACTCTTTATTTCTCTATCCATTTAACGTATTCCAACTCATACTTACTCATAATTTAATCTATTTACCCATTCTTGTAGGTTCAGTTACGCATCTCCAGGATGCTTTCAGTAAGGAGAAGTTACACTCTCGTCAGAGTCTAATTATTCCCATTCCTATCTGAAGAGTTATACCTGCAAGAATAAAATCTAAATTATTAACATAGGTAACAATACTTAACCATGCGATACAGAGGCCTTGTCGGATATAACGCTTCATTCGTGGTTGCTTAGATTCCTAGTCGTTAATACATGTATGAAGACATGTCTAAAAATTTAAGTCCAGGTAATACTCTGTAAAGGGTTGGAGTGAGTTCTTTTCTTCTTTCTTCTTTTTACTGTCAAATAATTCCTAGGACCGCTATTTGGGTTTTCTCCTTGGTTCTAATAAATTTCCATTCCTTCCAAGAGGGTATTTACTATATGCCGATAGTAAAAGGCTATTTATTAGGTATTATTCAACAAGTTTTTCTATTGTATGTAGACAATAGAAGGTGATTCTCAGAGCATGCACTATTTGTAATGACAGCTTCTGCCACTCTGTCGCCACAAGAATTTCGTCTCTCTCATAAAGTCATAAAATTTGTAATTTAATAAAAAGTTTATTCTTTATTATGTAAGAATATGTTATTATAACACAGTTATTTATTAAATATAAAATAATATAATCATAAAATTCCGTCAGAACATTATAAAATAATTATAATAATTAAAATGATAGTTTTTATTAAAAGAATTAAAAGAGATTAAAAGAATCTGAAAGGAACTAAAAGAAACGAAAAAAAGAACTAAAAAGAAACGGAAAGGAATTTCCCAAGAAAAGGAACTGCTAATACTTAGTGCTCTACACGAGCCAAGCTGGCTCATGAGCTGGCTCAAGCTTTTTAAGCTGAGCCAAGCCAAGCCATGATTAAATTGGCTTGGTGGCTCACGAGCCAGCTTGAAAGAGCTCGAACTAGTTATTAGGCTCAACTTAAAAAGCTCGAGCCTGTAACAGACTTGGCTCAAAAAGCTCGAGCTGACTCACGAGCCAAACGAGCTATTATACAAAAAACGTTGCAAAACATTTTTATATAATAATGCATGCATAAATGAAACGTTTTCACAACTTTTTTTCATTGTTTATTAAAGAACATTGCAAAAACGTTTATTTAAGTTTTTACATGTAAAATTGAAAAAAAAAACGCCGGAACTAATGATTCCGGCGTTTTTACATGTAAAATTGAAAAAAAAACGCCGGAACTAATAGTTTCAGCATTTTTACATGTAAAATTGAAAAAAAAATGCCAGAACTAATGATTCCGGCGTTTTTATATGTAAAATTGAAAAAAAATGCCAGAACTAATAGTTTCGGCGTTTTACATGTAAAATCAAAAAAAAACCGCCGAAACTGATAATTCCGGCATTTTTACATGTAAAATCAAAAAAAAACCGCTAAAACTGATAATTCTGACGTTTTTACATGTAAAATCAAAAAAAATGCTGGAACTAATGATTCTGGCGGTTTTACATATAAAATTGAAAAAAAATGCCGAAACTAATAGTTTCGGCGGTTTTACATGTAAAATCAAAAAGAAAAATGCCAGAACTAATTATTCCAGCATTTTTACATGTACAATCGAAAAAAAAATGCCGAAACTATCTGTTTCGGCGTTTTTACATGTAAAATTAAAAGAAATACACTGAAACTATCAGTTTCGGCATTTTAATATATAAAACCAAAAAGAAATACGCCGGAACTAATTATTCTGGCGTTTTTACATGTAAAATCGAAAAAAACGCCAAAACTATCAGTTTCGGCATTTTTACATGTAAAACCAAAAGGAAATACGCCAGAACCAATTATTCCGGCACTTTTACATGTAAAATCAAAAAAATGCCAAAACTATCAGTTTCGGCGTTTTTACATGTAAAATCAAAAAAAAATGCCGAAACTATCAGTTTCGGCGTTTTTACATGTAAAACCAAAAGGAAATACGCTAGAACTAATTATTCCAGCGTTTTTACATGTAAAATCGAAAAAAAAACGCTGAAACTATCAGTTTCAGCGTTTTTACATGTAAAATCAAAAGGAAAAATGCTGAAACAAATAGTTTCGGCGTTTTATATAAATTAAAGTAAAAACATTGCGAAAACGTTTTTATGATAAAGCTCAAGCCAGCTCGAGCCCAGCTTGGCTCAAGCCAGGATTTTTATGGCTCAGCTTGGCTCGAACTGAGCTGAGCCAAGATTTTTTGTGGCTCAGCTCATTTCAGGCTTGGCTTGGTGCAGATCTTCAAGCCGAGCCAAGCCAGACTGTAGCTCGGCTCGAGCCGGCTCATGTAGAGCACTACTAATACTAAGTTAAAAAGTTGGGGTTTATATAATAATTTACATGTTGATTTTTTGATCAACGTAAATAATAATAAATTAATTGTAACTTATTACATCATTATTACTATTAGGATGATCTTCATTTCCGATCCAAATTACTTCAGACTATTAATATTACACAAAATATAGACGATCCCTATAATTCCAAAATACTCCATTATTTAAATTAAAGTTAATTCTGGAATTATGGCACTACAGTACTACACTTGATACATATGGGCGACATTCTGAATACCCAGTATTTTTAACGCTTGCTAATATTTCTAATTGGTGCCAGAATTTGCCTGATGCAAAGGTTTTTGTTTGCTTTTTACCACAATTGAATACTAGAGATGGTAAACTTCGAGAATCTAAGAAATTTAAACAATACAAGCAAAATTTGAAACAATGTGCTCTGAAATATTTGCTAAATCCACTTCTTCGGAAAGAAGGCATCTACTTGGCAATAAATGGAAAAGTAGAACATTTTATTCTACATATATCTACTATATTAGCTGATATGTTAGAGGCACAAAGTATTTGCTGTACTTACAAATCATATTGTACAACATGTCCTTGCTACAAATGTCTTATACTGGGAGACTAATTAAATAATATGCATGTTAATGTAAATTCTATCATTTTACGAACCCATGAAAATATGAGTGCAGTTGTTTTATCACATGATGCCGCAAAATATTCCATTCATGAATATGAAAACTTTTTCTGGAAATTTAGGTAAAATATTAAATAATTAATTTATATTTGATTTAAAAAATAATCCTATCTAAATTAATATAATTTATTTACTTTAGAATGATGAATATTTATGATGTAGTGGCATTAGACCGTATGCATCTGCAAGAAATTGGTTTATTTCCATATATGCTTGACTTTACAAGAGAAATGATTATGTATTAATCTGGTAATCAAATTATTACCAAAATGGATGTTCAGTTAGCCACTATTACGCCATTTAGTGAATTAAGAATATTGCATAATGGATATCAACAAGGGGCAAAATAGTGGCAAAATTTACTGGAGTAGAAATGCGTGATGTTATGAAAATAATTATATTTGTACTAGATGAGCTTTATACAAATAATGATATAATTAGACATCGAAATGATACAGAAAATACGTTACATGAGTTCGTTGATTGTAAAAAATTAATTCAATGTTTTATAAAATTTGTTAAAATGTATATAACATCTAGAAAAGAAAAATTTAATGAAGATGAATTAAATGAGTTTAAGGTAATTCTTTAATTATCATTAAGTTGTAATTTAATTTATTTAATTTATTTAATCTCAGTTTCTCTTATATTGATATAGCAAGAAATTATTAGATGGTCAGATAATTTTGTCAAATTATTTAAGACATTTTCACGAAGTGAACTTCGCCTACCAAAATTTCACATATGGCGATATCATACTATTCAAACTATTATACCTGTCTCTTATACACATCTAGATGTGTATAAGAGACAGGTTTAAGGTAATTCTTTAATTATCATTAAGTTGTAATTTAATTTATTTAATTTATTTAATCTCAGTTTCTCTTATATTGATATAGCAAGAAATTATTAGATGGTCAGATAATTTTGTCAAATTATTTAAGACATTTTCACGAAGTGAACTTCGCCTACCAAAATTTCACATGTGGCGATATCATACTATTCAAACTATTAAACGTTATGGTGCAATTAATGGACTAACGACTGAGACTTATTAAACATTACATAAGAATTGGGTTAAAATCCCATATAGAATATCTAATAAAAATAATGTTCTTTATCAAATCATTAAAACTGTAAGTTATAATAATTATTTTATATATTTTTATTTATTGTTTTTAATGTCAAAAAATAAAATGGTTTTTATATTTAGATTCGTCGGCAAATAATTATAACTAATGAATTAAAAAAACCAACTATGTTAAAGTTAGATTGTATGTGATCTTTATTATGAAAACTATCTATTAGTGAATTGGATAATCTTGAACAAAAATTAAAGCATGAAAAAGATATAGATAGT